TACTGTGCAGAAAATACTGCCTGTGCCTGTAGGAATGGATTTGACCCTAGTCACTCAGTTGTTGAAACATCATTAATTGAATGAAATTTTCAAAGAAATTCAAGATGCAGGGAAAAGGACTTTGATCACTATATACCATGACATGGAGACCATACGAAGGGTTTTTAAACTATTTGAAGAACACCTCTCTCATCATTGGTGGGATGTGATTTTTGGATGGTCACCAACAGCAACCAGTGCCTTGATTCACCCTATCATTGTGCTGCTTATTTCGGCTAGCATAAGTTTGATCCTGTCTATTGTAATACCTGTTTGGAATAGGAAGATGCTATGCTGAGTGGCAGCTTTTAAATCACTATCAGAGGCATATGGCTTGGTCTTGAGAGATACTAGCCATATGGCTTGGATAGATAAAGAAAACTCTGTATAGTGAAGAAAAGAATTTACTCATTTCAAAGAAGTGGGGAACGAGACATGAATTTTAGAAAAGTTAAGATTTTAGCTTTTTGTTTGTTGATATATATTTTGTTGGAAATAGCTATGAGTTAGTAGTTAGTTAAAAGAAGCTAGATTTGAGATGGTTATCCTGGATTTAAATAACGAATTGCTTGTCATTTTTATGTTTGTTTAGCTGTGTTTGTAATGAGAAACTCTGGAACTGCTTGTGACTTTGCAGTGCATATTAGGGGACTACCCCACGCAGCTGCCCAGCACCGAATTAAATATACACTTTCTAACTCTAAACGGTTAGAGAGTCTCTTTTGTCCATCATAGTTGGGTATTGATATTAGATCAATATCCATATTTAATAAATCACACCAACAAAATGCCGGAATTCCTAGATCTCTCTTTAGCTACAGAATCACTTGGCAGCTACAGGCACTTTCATGGTACTTGGATTACCATGGATTATTACTTGGATTGCCTCTCCTTCACATTCCTGCCTTTTCTCAAGCATGGGTTAATTCAGACCTCACTGCTGTTAAGTCTTGTGCTCCTGCTCTGAGGTTAAGAGAGTCTGTGTCCCACTCACTCAGCTACAGATGGAAACTCCATGGGTTTATGGCTGGATGGATTCTTTCCTTTCTCTAGATCTCCCTGAATATTTTAACTGAAAGGGATAATTTGACACAATTTTACTTCCAAGAAAATCCTGGTTAAAATACATGCTCACAGAGAACTTGATAGCAACCAGAAAAGCTAATAGTATACAGAAGTCTGATTACTTGGTGGATTTCTTTTATTTTCAAAATCTCTAAAGAAATAAAGTTGGATTTCTATTTTGTAAATCATGCCATGTTTCTTTTAGATAGAAAAACAGGACTCAGAGGGACCCTGTAGTAATTTATACACATTATCTGCTGATAATGATACACATATTTAATGTTTGTATAATCCTGAATTTTGGAATTCTATGTCCAAAAGAAGAATATGTGGTACCTTTGCTTAGCAGCATAAAACAATCCAAGCTGGGACTGCTTTTCTGCCAGAATATATCTTGCTCTGCAGTGGGTCTCCAGGCTACTTGATGGAAGTGAAATGCCTGGGAACTGCTTGCTTTCTTCTTTTTCCTTTCTGGTTTGTTTTTTTTTTTTTTTTTTTTNTTTTTTTTTTTTTTTTGTCTTGTTAGTTTCTGCAAAAATTACCTGTATGGATCTACCCCATTCCTGACTCATAAATCCTACAACAGCAAAAGAGAGGGACACATAGGGAGAAGAAGGACCATGTCAGCTTCAAGCGAGATTCCCCAGGTCCAACTCACAAAGCTGGACAAGAAAAGGAATGATGAAGCTGAGGACAGAAGGTTGTATCAATACCCATGTGCTGAAACTCTTGCTGAAGCTGTTTGCCATCTAGTGGTTGGTTGGCCCTCTGTAAATACAATCTTAAAAATAGTAAAGACTTGGAGGATAAAATTATTTTAAAAAAACCCCAAAACTCCCCAATGTGCAAGAACCTATTAAAAAAAAAAAAAAAACCAAGAAATTATGCAGTGCCTCTTGCAAAGTGTTTACCATTAGAATGAATATCCCACAGAGACAAGGAACAGAAACTTGCACACAACCAAGGTGATTCAAAGAGATAATAGGTACATGCGGTTTGTAATTTTTCTCTTCTATTTCACTCTGCTACTCGTATTTCATCCAGAAATCCTGACCTAAATTGCTCCATCATTTTCTTCAAGCTTGCCCACCCTAAACTGTACATTATATAGAGATTAAATTAAGGGGCTCTGTGTTTAGGGGTGGTGGATGTCAGGGAGCAGCCAGATTTGGCTGCTTTGCAACAGAAAGTGTGCCATAAACAACGCACAATATCAAGGCAGGTGAAAGCAGTCACTTCATCAACAAGGAGCCAGGATGTGGAGCCAGGATTAGGTCGAGAGACAGTGCTCAGGGTGAGACACAGCCCATATGGTGACCCAGCAGGGCTGCAGTGGCGAGGCAGGTCCCAGGCCAAGCCAGGATGCCAAGTCAGCAAGCCTGGATGAGGGCCAGACTCATGGAGATGCAAGATGGTGTGAACTGAGCTGCTGCACAGCTGCCCTGTGGCACACGTGAGGGCCAGAGCAAGGCCATCGGTTGGAAGTGGCTCTCGAGGGACAGGCAGGCCCTTGCTGCTGGCTTTTCTCACAGCTGCTCTTATCGGTGACAAAACTGACCTTGGACTCTGCCAACTGAACTTCTGCAAAGGGGTAACGTGCTCAGGGCCACGGCAGTCACAGGGCTGGAACAGAGCTATGGAACATATCCAACGCAAGGGAAGCGGCTTCATGGAATTGGCCTTTCCTGTTAAAACGGCACATGAGTGAAAACCCCACATGAAAGTAGACTGAAGCTAAGTTCAAAGACCTTACTCTGCTCGGTTTGGGCAAGCCAAGGACTCTTGCTGTTAATGATGGCTTCATTAATGGGAAGCAGCAAAGGACATCTGGATTATTAACTAATAACACCGATTTAAAGCTCACTGATTCGAGGCTACTAATTTAATTTGTACATGAAAAAAAGATCAAACACAATCCTAGGATGTATCAGGGTCATACTATTAGGGACACTCAGACTCATCATCTATTAGGGACATGCTATGAGACCTGAAGCGAATGTACTAACTAGTCACCCATGTTTAACAACAGGGAATTCAAACTAACATATGCACAAATGGCTCAGTGGGATAACCAGGAGAACAGTGAGAGTTTCCTGTATTATGGAAGGAGACTAGTAACAACAATGGCTAAAATAAAAGGGCTGGAGGAGGTACAACAAATGATAAGTGAATGTCACAAGGAACAGAAATTGTTTTAATTTGTGAGCAGCCCTGGCTGTGGGAAATTGACATAAATATTTCTATACTCAGAATTAAACTAATAAAAGAAATTATTTAAAAATTGATAAATAATTAGGCTTTCTCCACTTGCAAGGAATGAAATTTTGGGACTTTTTTGGTGCAATTAATACAAGCAAGAAAACTTTAAGAAATGGATAAATGATTCTTTATTTAGTTGCTTGAGTTGAATGTGACAGCAAAGGTTGACATTGTAAGGTACAGAGGGTCCCTTTCAGGTTTAGTTCCTGCATTAACTATTAATTTACCATGAGCAGCCATCTGGTTGAAGTCAAACTAAATTATGTGATGTGCTCTTTTGGCTTTACAATATTAGATGTCCAGCTGGAACAGTACATATTTAGCTGTATACTGCCTCAAGATTATGTATATATAACCCCATGCTATAGTGACAGCATTGAAATAATCTGCATTGTGCATGGCCACATTCTCTTGTGGTGCGAAAGAGTGAATGAAAACCCAATGAAAATGAGATCAGTGTGGTTTATGGATCACTTGGTTTATGTACAAACAGTTTGGAGGCTCTTGACAATTCCACCAGAAACCAGAACATTTCCACCAGAACCTACTCTTCTCCTTAAAGAAAATACAGAAGTTCAAGTTATACAGTATATTATCTCCCTCTTCAATCTTATTCTGATGCAACAAAATTATAAGGCATTAAGAATAATCTTTGCAACCTCAAGTGTATAATTCCCTCCTCTTTTCCCTATTAATTTCCATTCCCGTTTGAAAGAATTATTTCAAAGTAATTGTTACATTTCTTCCTTGTTCACTCAGAACCCTCCAATTAGGGTGGGGTAGAATGAAGGGTATCTACATAACCATCTGATCGAAACTATTTAGTTGACTGCACAAGTTAAGCCTGCATATGCAGTCTGAGATTGCTCAGGAAATTTCAAAATTTCCTGTGGCACATACTGTACTTCAGCCATGCACCATGAATGTTCACCCGCTGCTATGGAGCAGCACTGCTGTCCATTTGCTGATGCCCGTGTTTTAGAGGTTGGATCCTCTGTCGTAAGAAACACTAATGAGGAACTGGGAATTTCTCCATGGTCCTGCCAGGACAGCATAGGCGGACGGCTCAGACTCCCCCGCTGCCAGCTCCGCTTCTCCGGGAGTCCCACATTATTATAAGGCTTTTTCAAGGGAGTTCCAAGTATAGCATCGACCACTTGCCCAGCCTTGATGTGGAGCCCACTCCCCCACGGGCCGGGCCTCCCAAAGGGGCATTTGGGAAGTAGCGACGGCCCTTTGGGTTACTCCTCCACCGCGTGTTAGCGCCGAGTCCTTGCTGTGACAAGAAATCCCTCGCGTACCCAGCCGGGCAGAGGGTCAGCACCGTGGTGCTGGGCTCCATGACCCCGCTCTCCCGGGAAGCGCAGAGACAGCTCCTGGCTCTGGGGCCGGGGGCGGTGCGGGACAGCCGAGGGCACCTGAGGGCACCGGCGGAGGAGGGCGGGCCTCGCGTCAGCCCCGCCCCTCCGCCCTCTGCCGCGCAGTTTGCGTAACCCCCCGGTCACGCCGGCGGGGGCGGGCCGCGCGCGTTGCGTAAACGGCTGTGAGAATCGCCGCCGCGCGCGCTGCAGGCGTAAGCGGCGGGACTTTACCCCCGCCCCGCCGCCGCCGAGCCTCAGCGCTCCCGTCCCGCCGCCATGGCCGCCCCGGGGCCGGCGCGGCTCCTCCGGGCCGCCGCCGCTTCCTCCCGCCGCTGGCTCTTCTCTTCCACCTCGCCGGCAGCCGCACCGAGGCCGGGCTGCGGCAGCGCTGCCGGGAGGGCAGCACGGCCGTTCAGCCTCTCTGCCCGGGCGGTGCTCAGGTAAGGGGGTCACGGCCCTGGTGAGGTACCAGGCGGGCTCCCCGGGGCGGCGGCCCGAAGGAGCCGCACCGGGCCGGGACTCGGTGCCGCGGGCAGCTGGGGCTAGCGGCTACCTGTGGCCCGGGCCGCCCGAGCCAGGCTGGCGCGGGATGACCTTCCCGCAGTGCCCCTGGCGGGTCCCGGTCCCCTCCACCCCTCACCGGCTGCTTGGCGGTGGCACCGGAGCGCTCTAGGGGGCCCCTCCACCGAGCTGTGCCCGTAGGGCTGTGCCGGCGCTGCGGGTTGGCCCGGGCGAGGCCCCGCTCCGGCCCCCGGCGCTGGTGAGACTCAGGGTCGGTGTGACCTGGAACCCCCTTGAAATGGCTTGTAGCGTTGTTGAACGCTAAACCAGAGTTCCTGGTGCCCAGACTGATTTTCTAAGAGGTTATGACCTTACTAAAGTCGCACTTGTTTTTCTTTTTTCTGTTGTTTGGTTTTGTTTTGTTTTTGTTTTTTTTTTTCAAAGTCTGGCTGGGCTTGTGGTAGAAGTACAGCACATATCAGAGAGATTCTCATACTTAAAGTCTTCTGCCTTTGGTATAGTGTTTCTGTACTGAAGAGCACTTTTGCATCTTCATGGAATGACTGGACATGACACTTAGTGCCATTATTTAGTTGACATGGTCATGGTTGGTAATAGCTTGGACTTGTTGATCTCAGAGGTCTTTTCCAACCTAATTGATTCTGTGGTCGGATAGAAATGTTCAGAGCTCCTCCTCCCCTCACCAGTATGTATGAGTAGGTATTTCAGAATGCATTGCGTCTGTGGGCAGTTAATATTACAGTCTACAGCTGTATTTTGATGCTTATTACAGGTAGTAGAGATTGTTTATGCACAGCCCTCTGGCTTGTAGTTTGTATATTCAAGATAGGTCAGAGTATACAGCTAACTTTCAGTGTTTAAAATGTAGAAGTTTTAAAAGCCTGATATACTTGGTTGCCAGAGAAGTTTCCTAGATTTGGAACAGGACCCACAGTCATCAGCCCAGCATCAGGGCTGTAGCCTGGTCTGTTTCCAGAAGATTGGGATAGTGCCATTGACATCAAAGCTGTCTCAGTAGTTTGCTTTTAAACTCTCCTGTAGGTGATCTTTGACTTTGTTCCAGCAGATAGTTTTACTATGGAGAGAGAGACTTAACTTCTCTAGCTTATAATTCCCACAGGAGATGAGTAAGTTCCTATTCAGATCTTTTCTCTGAGGGATCCTGCTGGTAATCAGTTGATACTGAGATCCTGATTTGCAGTTTTTAATTAAAAAGATGTGATATATTGACAAGTTTTTTAAAAGGTATTAAAATACTTGAAAAGAGACTCCTATTAAGGAAAAGCATTTCCTTACTTGATAGTAATGTGAGACCTATAATCCTCTCAAGTCTTTCACAAACAGGCTGAATACAGAATGGAATTTATTTACATTCATTTTGCAAGTGCACCAGCAAAAAAGCTTATGCAAAAAGTGTTTCCAATGTTGTTTGTATATTCAGTGTCATAACCTGGCTGAGGTGGGAGAAAAGGAAAATTCTTGTATGTTATTGTTTTCTTTATTTATGTGTAAGTTACTTTCTCTGGGCATCATATTTGAGACTCAGTTCCTGACCTTTATATAATCAGGTAGTGTTATTTCAGTAAAAAGATATACATAATTGTTTATGTTTGTAAAATTAGCTGTATTTGTGTCTAGAGGGTGAAGACTTCACTGTACAAAACATTACCTGAGGTGATTCCTGTGAGCAGAGGTTTCCAAGGGTTTCAGTAGAGCATCAGGCATTATGTTTTCATTTCCATTTCCTCCTTTCTCTTACTCCTTTTTTTATTCCCTATCCTTCCTTTTAATTTCATGGCGAACAGTAGTTATTTCAGAATTCTCTTATACCAATCCTGTTATTTGTACAATATTTTTGGTGAGCAGCATAATAATAATTGCATGCTTTAAAGATTAGTTCAGATTTATAACTTCTGTTGATTGAGGCCTGTATAATAGCTTGATTCATGGAACTCCTCGGGTAATTAGGGCTGTTAGATTTGCTGTTTATTAAAAGATCTGAGAATAACAGTTGGTCTCGCCATGTACAATACCAGGTTGTTGTTACGTTTTGTTTGGAGGAATACAAGAAGTGATTCTTAACTTGGAAGCAATAGCTCAAGATTCAAAAGGATAATTCTTTTAAGGGGGAAGAAGCAGTTATCGAGATTTTTGCAGTATTTACTGTTATTTGCATGAGAGGGACAACAAACAGCACTTACAATTCTCTGGTGCACCTCTGTGCCTTTGCAGTATGCCTGATTTAGGGTATCATTGTGAAGCTTGATAAAAAATGCTGATGGTACTGTGACAACCATATGAAGAAATTAATTGTATTTTACAACTGGTGAAAAGCCTTTATCTGAGCATGAATTGGGATATTTATGCTTCTTGCAGATAACACAAAATAAATTGTGTTTTTCCTGATAATCCCGAGGCTCATATTCCATGTTAATTGCTTGGGACTGGCTTGCAGCACGTTGATATTTGGATAGTTGTTTTTCTTGATGCAGACAATGTCTGAGTGAACATAACCCGTGTTATTTGAAATTTACAAAGCCTAAATATTGTTTCATGTGGGTGAGATTTTAATTTTTTTTAATGGTATCCCCCAGTCATTGAGAAGATTGGCTCAGTGTGTGTTTTGAATGTCTGACTAGTCTGATTATTAAATACACACACTTCTGAAAGTATTTTCACTAAGTAAAGCTCCAGTGATTTTTTTTTTTCTTTTAAATATTTTGGCTAAGTGAAGAGTGATAGAATGTGGCAATAGCAAAAAACCCAGATCTACTGAAAGACTTAAGAAGGCTGTATCTAACTTTGAAAATAAAATTTATTTATTTGTGTAGTTATAAATCGGGGTGGATTAGGTCCTGCTGAAAGATTAATTAGTGTGTCAGTTTTTAACAAAAGTCAGTGACCTGGTGGCGATACTGCCATCTGTCCCCTTGCTGCTTGCCACACCGTGAGGCAAGCGCAGCCACAGTGCAAGTCCTCAACTGGGCTGAAGCAAATATCAGCTTGCCCCTACTGACAAGGGCATCCCACTGCTGTTTCCTTGGTTTTGTTGTGGGCAGTGGCCCAATTGACTTCTGTCAGTTTTGCTTTCTGGTCCAGTTGGGTCAGCTTTGTTTTTGTGGTTGACTTTCATCCACATTAGCAAAGAGAGTTGACTCGTGGTAGTACTGGTGCAAGGATGATGGAAGGGTGATTTGGAATGGGGATCATCTCAACCCAAGAGATTGATTTAATCTGATCACGAAACCCAGATTGTGTCACTGCATCATAAAGTTGCAGTAACACAGCCATTCTAAACTGGTATAAATTTCATCTAAGGGTCAGATCTGACTCTGCTGGTTCTGACATCTGTGGGGTTATTGACCTTGGCTTTCAGCCAGTGCATTCCCAGACCGAGGTTACTGCAGGACAGTGCAGGCGCTGGAGAGAGGAGGAACAAAGGAGCAGGGGCGGCACTGTTCCTCTCCTGGCCCTGTGGAATTTTATCAGATTCAAGTGTAACCACAGGTGAAGACAGTTTCAAGTGTGTTTGGAAACTGGGAGGGAGTTGACTTGTCATTTACAAATGTTCCAGGGATCTAATGGATTCCCAGACATCTTACTGTTTGGTCCGTGGTACTTGTGAGTGCCTAATCCTATAATAAAGCATATAGTTAGGATATTGGAATAAATATTTAGTACTTGCCATATCTATATCTTGGGCAGAGCAAACCTAGAAATGCAAGTACATATTGTATTGTGTGTCCTGTCAGTGTTGTTTTTTGTCATGTTGACCGAAATATTTCAGCAAAGGAGAGTGTACTTTGAGCTCTGGAAGGGCTTTTTGAGGCAGTTTATAATTACACTGTCAGACGTTAATTTAGGCTCTCAGAATGTGAATCTGTACCTTTCCAGATGCAGTCTAAATCCATCAGTCTTAAACTCCCAGAGGAGGTGGTGAATTTTGTACTAGTTTATCTAAGTGGGTGCTTGTTTCCTTGGTTCTGCTGTGGGAGGTGTTAACATAGCCGAGGAGCAAAATGAGAAGCAGAGTGGTTTCTTAAACCCCCACAGAATGGTTTGCTGGTGGTACTTGGATATCACAGGTGACTGTGCAACATAAATAATATTTTGTAAAGATATTTCTTTAAGATTTCTGATTTTTTTTTTTTTAAATAGTACATGCTTCAGTTGTGTTTTGCAGGTCAGCAAGGTCAGCCCTTTGTTATCAATTATAGTTTTGGAATGAATTTGTAGTTAATAGTAGCTTGTGGCTGCCTTCTGGAGAGTGGACTGAGGGATGTTAGGAAAAGAATTGAAGAACTGAGCATGACATCCTAATGAATCATCATGGAGCATACTGCTGCCAGTGGAACTCGTGGCAAATGTATGAAGTCCATAGCAACAAACATTTGTTGTTTCGTAACAAGCCAGGACTCAGATTGCTAAAAACACATTCTTTTACAGCCAGTTATAAAAATAATCTGTTCACTGATTTTTCAGCATGGTCACTTTCAAATTTGTTCTTTAATATTCAGATGTACAGGTTAGAGTTTTCTAGGGGGTGACTTGATTTGCAAGTTTGCATATTTTTCATATGACATAAATCACAGTTACAAAGAAGAGTATAGGTAATATGAAGCACGTGGTTCTTAAACATGGATTTCATATGGAAACATAGTTTTTTAAATTAGCTTTCTAGTCATTCTATTTTTATCCTTCATCTCTTGACAGATTACTTCACTATCCATCCAGCAAGTTTGTTTTGCTCACTTACTGTAGGAAAGAAAATAGTCTGTTTAAAATTGAACATACTGTATTTCATTAGTATATTTAAAGCTTTCCTTTAATTTGCATGTGAAATAATATGGAATGTAAAAAATTTTTTTAATGTTACAAGCTTTAGTTTTAAGACATTTTTGTGCAGATAAAATATCTAAAACTCTAAACAGAAATAGGAAAACTTAGAATTTATCCTAAATGATAGTTATGAGAACAACAAAAAATTCATAAATCCAAAGTAAGAGTTCACAGAAAGGTGGGGAAAGAAGCATTTAAAATAATCTCCTTTATTTGTTAAAAATATGACTATTGTGCCTAAAATAAGCTGTCTTTGGTGAAAGGCAAAACATCTGGATCCCATATACCTTGTAGTGACAAAATAAACACCAAGGTTTGTTTTTTTTCTTTTCATGGTCTTTGTTCAATGTACAGCAGTAAAAACTGTCCATGTTACAGCTTTTAAAAGCCAGTAATTTAGGTTCGTCTTTTCTTGGACTTGACAGTAGTAGTATCAGCTATTATTTTAGTAGTATTCAATTAATTCTAAAGTGCTAAAAAATTCTAGAATTCTTTAATTGTATAATATAATTTTCTTTTCCAGCTCAGAAGATAAAATAACTGTTCATTTCATAAACCGTGATGGTGACAAACTAACAGCCAAGGGAAAACCTGGGGATTCACTGCTGGATGTTGTTGTTGACAATAATCTAGACATAGATGGTTTTGGTGAGTAGATTCACTGAATGTTTTATTCAATGTCTAGAAATTATGTTCCTCTTTATGCATAAATATTTATAGTATCATTTAGATTGGAGAAGACTCTTAAGATCATTGAGTCCAACTGTAAATGAATATTTTATATATAAAACGTAGCTGTACTTCACTTGGATTTTCTCCCCTTTTTCCCCTCCTGCAGGTGCATAGAATAATTTGGCTTTGGATGATCTTGAGTGTTAAAGGGGAATATGCACAGAGTGCTGTTAAAGTGGAATCTGAAACATGTCTGTGATGCAGACCTCTTCTGAGCTGAAAGGTTCTGTTGTGGAGGCAACACAGAACTGGTGTATTTCTGACAGTGTCTGGTTACTTCTGTATTGCCAGACTGTCTCAATTTATTATCAGACTTTTTGTAGCACTATATCTATAGCAGAGGAGTGCAAAGTGAAAGAAATAACCAAATCCGTGTCAGTTAGCAGGGAAGAGAGAGGAGTTTAATTCTTATTAAAGAACTGGGGTCAAGGAGACCTTGTGAAATTCTAACTTGGTACAAGTTCTGTTTAAAATCGAAACAGGAGGAAGTTACAACTTGTCTCTATTTCTTCAGACTTTTGCACATTCCATAGTTAGAATCATAGGATGATTTGGGTTGGAAGAGACCTTGAAGATCATTCAGTTCCAAACCCCTCTGCCATGGGCATCTTCCACCAGCCCTCATTGCTCAAGTCACTAGACCACGTTGCTCAAAGGTTCAATTAGGTAATTGCAGTTAAATGCCTTGGGAAGGTATTTATATGAACATGAGCTGAAAAATTAGTAGAACTGAAACAGAAAGTGGTAGTACAATTTTCAGAACTGAATGCATAATGTGGAAAAAAAAAGCAGCAGAGTAGTGTAACACAGTTTGAAATTTGATGTGTGTTTTAGTTAAGTACAAATAAATTCTACTGCTAGTAATAAAATCTTTGATAAGATTTGAAATCTTATTATCTGAGACATCTTTTATGTGTAGAGTTTCATATATCTTGGGAAGAAAAATTGTCTCAAAACTTTATAATGCAGCTAGCTTTATGTATGGCTTATTAAATGACTCATTTAGGTTTATGGCTGGCCTGCTTGTATTCTACAGTAAATGTTCTCTGTGTCAATATCAGCTGTGTTAAAACATTGTGGTAAAGTGAGAAAAAGCAATGCTGTCAATAAAAGGAAGCCAAACTGAAAATTTGGAATACTGTAACAGTCTTTAGTTATAATATGTGCTAGTCCCATTTAATAACCACTTGCTAATGAAACATCGTACTAGGGCAGAGAAATAATGTAGTAAAAATGTGTGTTCTGTGTTTAAGACAAAAGTAAAGAGTAAATCTTGCTTAATTGCTTCTATCACTAGAGGGCATCCCATGAGTGTTAACAGTAATAGAAATATCTTTGTATAAAGGGTTACAGATCTGTTGAATGATTCAGCTGCACTCAATTTGTTTGCTATTGCCAGTTTTATGGTTGTGGAAAAACCTTCCACTGTTCAAAGAGAGTGGTCAGTGTTCTTTCCTTCCTTCCTCACCCCTTCCCTCACTTCCCCCAACATTAACGATCTTTAAGCTGCTGATATGGCAAATTTTATGTTTGGCGCTCTAATTAAACTCTGCTTTTTCATGTGTATTTGAAGACATTCTATAATTTAAAAATCTAATGTTGTATTACAGTGAATATAAGCTTTTGGTACTGTAGCAGCATGGTGCTTTTTGTGTGGTTCTCATGGTCTAATGATGAGTTCCACTATTTCTTTTCATAGCAGTGGTTATACATACAACCTTGCTTCCCTTATTCCCATATGATTACAAAGGTGATGTGGTCAGAGTATTTTTGGTTCTGCTTTCCCTAGAAATAAGTGAAGATTGGCTAATGTGTTATCTGATTATTTTCTATCAATTTAAATCAGAGCCTGGGGTTTGTAATCTCCACAGTATTTAGCTTTCCCCCTGCTTCTTGAAGTTGCATATTTCTTTCTCAACACTGTGGAGAACTTGGTACCAGCCTAAGACACAGCCCAATACGGTGACAGAGAGAAATTTGTTAGAGTTCAAACTTCTCCTGTGCTGTGATGACCTAATTGCTGTAGCAGGTAGGTGGAGTTGGTGCTTGTGCTGCTCTGCCCCAGCAACTTGTTAGGTCCTTGACCTGTACTGGAGCACCTCGTAATCCATGTAGTAGCCATGTCTCTCTAGCCTGATTACCTTTGTTGCTGTGAATTTGTGTTCTGTTGAGTGAGAAGAAATAAATATAAAATCCCTCTTCCCTGTACTTGTAAGGAATTGTTTTTGTGTAGCAGGTGTCTGCTGTTGAACTTCTAGAGAAATCCATCTCAGAACCGTGGGAAAGAGAGATAAGGAGGATCAGCACTGGAAATAAGTAGTGTTGATTGACAGCATTGCCTGCTTTTGCATTCTTATAGTAAAAAGCTACTTTTTAAGTGGTGGAAAGGGAATTAGTTAAGTATTTGAACTGATTACTTAGCATTTAAGTAAATCTTAGCACTATAGTAACTGTAGAAATACTATTAATAGTTAAATGCAGAATAGGTATATGAAAGTGGGACTATATAGAACATTAATTTTGCTAATCAGCCAAGACTTCTTGTATGAAACAAACACACATAGGATTTCTTCTGAAATTGAGCTGCAATTTGAAACTTTCTATTTGAAATTTTCTGTTATCTTGATTTATTTTTTTAGGTGCATGTGAAGGAACGCTAGCCTGTTCAACTTGTCATTTAATATTTGAAGACCACATATTTGAGAAACTAGATGCAATTACTGATGAAGAGATGGACATGCTGGACCTGGCATATGGCCTCACAGAAACGTAAGGCAGCATAACACTTCCCTACATTACTTCTCCAAAGAATGGGAAGAAAGGTTTGGAGATGGGGCAGTCCAATATTCTTGGAGCACCTTAAGCAGCTTTTAATGAATAGCTGGATTCTGTTACAAAATTGGAACTGCCAAGTTTAAATGTTGTTTGTCTGAATTAGTATTAAAAAGATGTCAGTATTGGTTTCGTGACCGAAAAGTGTCAGTACTTGGTCTTCAGAGGGTCTGGTGAAAAATGTTAGCACTAAAGTATGACTGGAAACCCAGTTCCTTCCACAAAGCTCTGCCACTGCTGTCCTGTGTGTGGATTTTCTTATTCTTGTTTCTTTCCCTTCTGTTTTCTCTCCCTTAACTAACTGTAGCTAGTTATGTATTTTATGAATGTGTTTATGTCAGTATTTCAGGTTTTGGTCAGATCTTCTTCTCACAGAGTCACAGAAGGGTTGAGGTTGCAGAGGACCTCTTGAGGTCAACTGATTTATTTTAAATAAATCAGTTAAAAAACCACCTGCTCAAGCAGGACCACCTAGATCTTATGCCCAGCACCATGTCCAAGGATGGAGACTCCACCTTCTCCAGCCTCTCTGGTATTTGTGTACATTGCTAAGATCCTTCCTTGAAACCTTCTCTAGGACAAACAGTGTAGAGATACATCAGTGTACATACTTGTTATGCTTTGACTCATATCAGAGTGCTCCTTGTGCACACAAACCAGATTCCCTATTGGGAGATACTGATCCTAAAGTGCTCTGACTGCTGATAGGCATTAGGATTAGACTAGTGGTAGACTCTAAAGTAAACCTCTATTCTGCATCACCCCCACCATCACACATGTTATTGTTAGGATGTTAGTCCTCATCACAGACCTGTTCCTGGTGGGCTGTTGTACTTGCTGGTGCACAAGTAGCCTTTATCACAGAACATGCCCACATGAGCTGTCCCTTATGAGGTTTCATAAGCCCTTTCCTTCATGTTTCAATGGAACTGCTCGTTGAAGTTTTTGAGAATCTTTCCCATTACGTCAGAGACTTTATACTTGGTCTGTATAAGCATAGAATTTGTGTCTCTGCAAAGAAGTACACTGAATTAACTTCTCTGTTTCCTTATATAAAAGTAAAAGGAATCCTGTACTCATCATTTCTATGTGACAATACACTTTCTCACTTCAGCCAAATCTGAACGTTTATGGGAGGTTGGAAAGGCAAAGAAGTTGTGACAAGAAACTTGCAGCTTTTGTTTTATCGTTTGTCCTGTGTCACAAAAACCCATTTTCAGTTTTGGAAAAAAACTCATAAGCCTATTAAGCCTGCCACCTACCATAATAAAGAGTAACTTTTAGGTTCAGGGCCAAAATAATTCCTGAATAGCTCTGGAGGCATATGATCTAATAAAAACCTTTTTTCTTTGGCTACCTTTACTTAAAAGGCTTAAAGCAATGAGATTTTACTGAAGAACTGGAAAACAGTAGCAAGCTAAAGCTCTCTGTTTAAATGTTTCTATTTCCCCCTCTAAGTTCTTCTTACCAAATGAAGTTTCACACCCTCTGAAGATGTTTGGTGATTGTATTAGGTTTTCCTAGCATCACATGTTCTCCCTATGCCAGGGACCTTCCATTTATGTGAGAGGATGACACTTCTGAAGGACGAAGGTTTAAGTGGATGGTGTTTGCTGCAGGTTACCTGGACTCCTGGGATGATGTAAATTTGTGTAATGGAATGCACTTCTATGTTCTGTCATAGGTGTAAGCATAGCAGCTTACTCTTGTCAATGACTCTATTTGAGAAAGCTTCAGCCAGCAACTGCCAAGAAAGCCCATGTTTTTAAAAATGAAGGATTTAATTAGGTTACAAGGAAATTGTTTTGATTAACTGCAGAACAGTAGAAAGTAGTAAGATGGGAGAGTGCAAACCCTGGCAAGTCATAATAAGAATGCTAAAGCAAAAAATAAGATAACAAACAGCTTGAAAAAAGTAGGCAAATATGTTTTTAACCTGTCAGAAACAGGAAACTTTGTCTAAACGCAGAGCCAATGGTGATGTAGAAGGTGTACATAAAATAGAAAAAGATAAACAAAAGCAAAGTTTCTTTTGCCCTATTATCTCTAGAGATTTAATGGGCTATCTGTCTACTAGAAGGTTGCTTTGCAGAGGGTGTCCTGGCATATTCTGTGATCTTCGTTCAAAGCAATGTGTCCATGGAAGTAGTATTACTGCAGATAAATAAACAGAATGGTAACAAATAGTGATGGCCAGGTAGCATTCACCCAGGAGCTCTACAAGAATTCAATATGGCATTTCTGAACTACTGTCTGTAAGGCTTAGTTAGTTGGTTTGAAACTCATTGCACATCAAAGGAATGGGAAGGTGGGAACCCAGATTTTAAAATGAGAGTCAACATTTTAAAGTGAGATTCAAAACTGGAGAGCACTGTTGTGGTTCTGTAGGCTGTTGCTTTTCTGTGCTATCTGCTATGGGTAAGGAAAGAATTCAACAGAGCTTTTGTAGAGGCATGAAGCAGATACAGAAATTCTTCATATAAGTCACTGAGATGAAGAAAGATCTTACAGTTCATGCAGTTTACTTAGATATTGTGTACTAAATTTTGAGGTGCAACAGCATAAGAGAAAAGGCCAGGCCTGTAAAGGCTAAGTAATTGGTTGAGAAAAACAACCCATCTTTTATCAAGAAGTATTAAGCTGCCTGGTAAGAGTATGTGATCAACAGCATGATGTAAAAGTGATTGGTGCTAGGTTTTGGTTAGTGTGAGCATCCTTGTGTAAGACTTAGGAAAACACAGTGAGGAGTAAGGTTTGTTTTCAGTGCTGTGGTAATATCATCACCTGCCTGTAAAAACATGCACAGATTTTATGCTCTTCAGCAATAGGAAATGACATTTGGAGTTAAAAGGCAAATGTAGATAAATGCATATGGAGAGGTGGATAAAAGAGTGGGAACTGAACGTTCTTGAAACAGGCTGTCAGGTAGCTAGTGTCTTGCCAGGGACTGGTGCTATGGAACATTGCCCATCCCTGCTGATGTCTGTAGTATTCTGTACTTAAATACTGAGACATGGATGTTGAATTAAAGTCATCCCAGCAATAAAAGTAGCTTGTGATGTCTGAAGAGTTTTGTTGTGGTATTAAATCTTCTGATCTTAATTGCTTGTGTGCAACATCTGGTTTTCTTGTGCTGAATGATAGGTATAGAAATGAAGGATGACATCTCCTCCGGAAGCTTGAGTGTTTTATCCTTCTCCTTCCTATGCTTCTTGTGTTTTCACTCTTACTTTTCTGGATTACACCCAGTCTTGAGTTTTTTAGTTTGAGAATATTGAACTCTGGATGGAGGCTGTGCTTTTTCTGAGGCTTTCGTTCAGATTCATTGCCTTTATCTCTTCAGAGGTACCAGATGTCCCTTGGGAGATCAAGCATCACTCCCTGCACTGGAGGGAGTGATCAAGCATAACTCTCTGTTAGTGACCCACTGAAAAGGGAAAGGTCACCCATATTCTGCATTGTCTCAGTGAGCAGGAAGTACGGGACTTTCCAATGTGCTGAGCTCTGTTCTGGCTGTAAATCCTGGCTGTTGCCACACAGATCCTTGTGCTAGTGCATGTGATTCACTCCTGTGCCAGATTGAGGCCCTGCACAAGAGTGGCTGTTCCTAGTTCATGTTTGGGATGGCTGAGTGTTGAAGACGTAAGGGGGTAAATGCTGTTAGCTTGCTGGTGGGCTAGAACTAACAATAATGTCCTGTTTCCCCACAGATCACGTTTAGGCTGCCAAATCTGCCTGAAGAAATCAATGAATGATATGACTGTTCGAGTACCAGAAGCTGTGGCTGATGCTAGACAATCAGTAGATATGAGTAAAAACTCCTAAAATAAAATATCCTAGGGGTTTTAAAGAAGTTTAATTATTTTTATAACTTATTTTTAAATGTGTAATTAAATATGGAAACTTACATAATTGTGAGTTATTTTATATGACTATCAATATTAGATTAATGCTATTTTAATTTTCTTTATAGAACCTCTTATATTTTTACGCTTAAAATGCAATAATACTTCTTATAAGTAATCATTGGATTATAAATATTAGCAAGTGTATTGCAGATTTCATATAACATTATTCTACCAAAACATTCAATGACATTTAAAAACTGGATCATTTGTACAGGACTTCTAAAACAAACTCTGAGCATTTCTAGGTGTCAGACCTGAACGTGTAAGAGAAAAGAGCTTGTAGGACTGCATGGTGCCTTTTTGAAGTGTTGCCATTAAAGATGGTGTGCTCAGAGCTAGTGGAAATTCTCAGTAAATATGATACTTCCTTAGCAAATAGTGGATTTTCAGGGTAGGAGTTTTCCAAACTTTGGAACCTTAATGAGATGTGGCAAATGTCTCATTTAAATACTGCTAAAACCCATGAGTTCTAGGAGCTGTGTTACAATTTAACCCAGCAGGCAGCTAAATGCCACACAGCCATTCACTTGTACCCCACCACTGTCCACCCCCCTTCCAAATGGGATGGGGTGTGGACTTGGGGGGGAAAAAAAGTAACATTCATATGTTGAGGTAAAGACAGTTTAATAGGACAGAAACAGAAAGCAAAGCAACAGTAATAACGACAGATAAAATACATAAAACAAGTGAGGCACAACACAATTGCCCACCACCTAATGGCTGATGCCCAGCCAGTTTCTGCACAGTGACCCCCGGCCAACTTTTGCCCAGTTGGATATTTTGAGTATGGCACCATATAGTCCGGGACTTCCCATTGGTCACTTGGGGTCAGCTGTCCTGGCTGTGTCCCCTCCCAATTCCTTGTGCACCCCCACAAGGTGAGGTGAGAATCTGGAGAGACCTTGACTTAGTTGTTGCTAAGCCGTGTTTACATTAAAACATCAGTGTGTTATCAACATTATTCTGGTTCTAATCAGTATAATAATCTGATTCTGGTACAGCACTGTGCCAGCTACTGATAAGAAAATCAACTCTCTCCCAGGTGAAACCACAACAGGCTGATGCAGGATGTTGGCACCTGCAGCTTAACCCTGGCCCAAATCAGATGTCAGTAAACCTCAACAATATTTACATTTGACTACACCACAAATACTGGGATAGCCTGGGCTCAGAAGAATGAATCCTTGGAGCTGTGTAACAGGAGAACATACCCAGTGGAATTACATCACAAAGTCTTATTGTTCTCTCAATATGGCTGAGTTGGGATTGAACAGGGCAATGTTTGTCAACATCAGATTTGTTCTGAAATCTTTATCCCTTCTTAGTTTTGAGCTTGTGCACGAGGCAGTCTGATGTTAGCTAGGGTATTCAACTTTAAGACATTGCTGATTCTGGGCCTTGCTCACAGGATCATTCCAGTAATGATTGCTGCAAAATGACCAAGTGTATTTGTTTCATAAAAATGGCCTAGGTTCCCCAGAAGGTATGGGGAAACCCCTGTGTGTGATAGCATCTGCATTGATGATAAAGAACTTTCACTTGAATATTGGTTTAGTCTTTCTAAAGTAGCCCAGATAAAATAATGTTTTTAAGACTATTATTCTCCTCAACTTTACGTAAATACTTATACGAACTGGTTATCACCAGGAGTTGTTAACTTTTGATTTTTTGGGCATTTATATATATATCTAAACCATGTTTGTTTACATTTGAATGACTTAATGCATTCATTAATGCTTTGTTTGAACTGGTAACAATGACATCTGAACATCTTTTCTTGCATTATTATATATATGGGAGGGGAGAAAAATTATTTTTCCAGTTGCAAATACTGGGATTATTTTGAGCTTTACAAAGAGGAAAAAAAAGTTCCTCTTTATTATAAGAATTAATATTCTCTAGAACTATATTGAAAATAGATGTGGATCAGATTCTTTTATTTCCTCTCTTAATTGCCTCATTCGTTCTGTTATCTTTCAACTTTGTCCTAATGCAAGGTATACTAATTGTGGTCTGCTCAAAATTTAATCATGAAGGGGTTTCAGAATACACTTCTGATGTCATCCGATTCATACTAAGACTTCAGAATTAAAATTTCCTGGCTTTATGAAGGGTGGAGAGAGGATCAGGGAAGAGGGTGGGCATAAATTGAAGAAATTTTCTCAATATGCTGCTGTCTTCTCTTCTGCTGCTGTGGCTCTAACCATGACTGAGAGGTTGCCCTCACAGAGTTGGACATCAAGGTAAATCTCACTTTGTATTGCCTTTGTCCTGAGCTCATTTATATACAGTTGTTAGTATTAAATCTTGAGGTTTTGGGGTTTTTTACATGAGATTGCTCATCATCTTCCAAGAGAGGAAACTTGGGTCGTAACCATGTGTGTTGTGCGTTTGTACATCAGAAAGAAATACGAGGTTTCAGTATACCTGTGAGGCTTAGGGGTAGATGTTGATATTTATTGAGTTTTGGGCTCTTGTGTTTTTTGTTGGGTTTTTTTGTTTGTTTTTTTTGTTTTTTCCATTGGGTTATTTGGGGTTTTTTTCCATACAGTACCAGGTACTTCTTGTGGGAATCTTGAAATGCTTAACACTGTGTTAAACAAATGTGGAACAACTCCCAAGTGAGTTTTCTTTCTAAGACAAGGTGGTTTTGTCGTGTGTTTCCTGTGACAGCTTCTTATTACAAGGACTTTGACTCTCCTACAGTGTGCCTGTGGAATGAATTACTCAGCACAGCAAGGCAAAAAAGGACACTTCGAAGTTAATTTTGAATTCTAGAGCTATCCAATACTGCATGCAAATGGAAATCTCAGAACACAAAGGAACTGACTTGTAGTCCCCAAAATGCACAGCTCAGAAATACTAGTTTATTGTCAAAATGATTTGCAAATAAATCTTATTTTTAACTTCTTTCTGACACCTCTTGTTTTATGGATTTTTCTTTCTTTCTTCTCTAAGCTATTGAATGTATTTCTGGGTGAAAAATGGAACTTACCCACTAATGGTGCCCTTTAAAGTGTAAGTATGAATTATTGTGCAGTGACACGCAATTATAGCATCAAAATTAATTGAATACATGTTTACTTCCCTGTTCAAATAAAGATTACAGGTAATTTGCTTTCTAAAACCATTTCCTTTCTCTGTTAAAAGATGGGGTCAGTGGGTTTCTTCTGTCTCTCCCCCCTCAAAAACGAGCAGCACATCAAAACTGTTTCCTTTGTGTTGTGAATAAACTTCAGAAGCATACTCAGAGTCTGGGGTTGGCACAGACCTTTACTTCACAAGCATTGGGGGGCTGCACGGTCTTCTGTTACTTGTGGGTAAAAAGGATCCTTTGGATTGGGTTGTGTTTGTGAGAAAGGCCAAAATCATCCCTCTGCCTTTTCAAGAGTGTGGGGGAGCTTACCTGTGGCTCCAGACTGTGTCCTTTCCCTCTACCACCCTAAACTGCAGTCAGGCCCAAGCTAGCGGTCCCACCTCTGTGACATTTGGGTGTTTGTGTGGTGTCTGAAGGGAAAAGAAGGGTGTGCCTTGCATTCCCACACCACCACGTCTTGCTGTGTGAGAAGTTCCCATTATCTGGACTGCAGGCTGTTGTGAGAGTGAAAAAGGCAAGTTCTGTAGGCAGTTTGTGGCTTCTCAAACTAAAATTAAATCTTTCATTAGTTCACAGAGTTCATTATTTTTGGCTGTGGGGCTCCAAAATACTTAAGACAGCCATGTCCAAACCTCATTCACATCCCAGCTGGAGGCAAGTTGAAAAGGTCGTGTCCAAAAAAGCTGCAGGGAAGAGGCAATGCTAGAGTGTGGAGGAGATTCCCTACAACCTATATTTTGTCCTTGCAAGGGACAATGTGGTATACAAAGATAGGGTACACAAAAAAAAAATTCTTATTCCTTGGGAGGAAAGAGGAGAAATAAATCTGTAAAGGAGGAGAAGAGATGCTCAAGCTTAGAGAGTGAGTTACCAAATTAATAGAAAACATTGGGAAGAGTGCAGCTGCTTGAGGTGATTTCTCCTCAAGTGATCTGAAGTGATGTGAGAGTGGGAATTTTCTGTATCCTGGCCGGGGCTGTGGCCTCTCAGGGTGGCTGTGTAGATCCATGTAGTTATAAATGCGAAACAAAAGTCTCGATATTCAGCAAAATGTAGGTTGCTTTATTTGATATAGACGGATCAAGCAGCGCTGCGGAACCTGAGGGGTCACTGCCCACTCCACACTCCATCGAACCTTGGTTTGCAGCCTCTTCTTCTATTAAGGTTTCTCGTTGTAATCAATAATTTTTGGTTTTTGCTGTCATAATTTTGCCAGGTAAGCAGTGGTGGTCGAATAAACATCCTTATACAAATTCACAAAGTCTCTGGCGGTAGTCAGTCTCACAGAAAACCATCTGGTCCTTGTAGATAACCACCAGTGAAGTTCTGGAAGTCTGGTCCTTGGCATAGGTAGCATTGATCAGACAAAGGCAGGAAGGACTATCGGAAAGTCTGATTTTGCAAGCTGGTAGTAGATTTGGAAAACAATGTTCATAACAAGGTGATTTAAAACAGAATGATTTAATAACTTATTTTCCTTTATCTAGTGTCCGTGCTTCACTTCAGACCTTAGTACTCTGGTTTATACAAACCCCAATACTTTTGTGATTAACACGAATCTTTTATCAATTATTGCAACATCCTGCTGTGGGCTGCAGTGCCTCGGTGCTTTCTCTCCCTGTTGCACTGGCAGGAGAGTGACAAGTCCATCCGTAAGCAAAAAGGCATTAAAAATATAAACCATGGCATTAAAAGTAACCCTGAGATTTACTTTCTAATCCACTGGCCCCATTTGCTTTTTATGGAGTTAAGTAAAGGCTTTTGATGTGAAGTAGTCCAAATTTCAAAATGTCTTTAAAAAGTCATTTCTAGCCGGCAGTGGTTTAGCATTTGCAGTTTCAGCTTTTCATCAAGAAGCTGTTGGTTTATTGTGCCCGACCAAGCGAGTCTCAGTTCTGGAAATTCACTTGACCCCAGCCTGGCCAGGAAAAGGCTGCATTTACACTGCCCTGTGCTTCCATACGGTCAGGTCCAGTTAGCATCGTGTTCCCTGCGCCCACCCCATTCCATAGCGCAGTGCTTCCTCTCCAAGCCAGCACTGGGGCGTGACCCCGCATCTGCGAGAGACGAGAGAGAACAGAACGGGGTTTGAACAGACTTGGTGCCGCCTTCTTTGGGTCCGCTCGGGTATAGTCGAGCTGTCCCGTTTGTGGCTCTTTCAGAGAAGGTGTGTTCCAGTCATTCCCTCAGCTGGTGCTGACCCCAGGCGGTAAATCCTTGCAGCGCAGCGCTCCAGGGATTAAGCTCGCCCGTGGGAGCAGGGCAGCGCGCTGAAGCAGGAGCGGGACAGCCCCGCTCAGGCACCGCCCTGGAGGGAGCTGCTCTGTGCAGCCGGCTCGGGTGCCGTGGGGCTGGGCTGGCACCGGCAAGGCGCTATGGCTGCATCGGGCAAGGCTCGGTGTGTGTGCCGGAGACACGCAGCCGGCCGTCACACACACACACGGAACGCGTCGCCAGCCCTGTGCCCCGTGAGCCCCAGCCCCAACCCCTTCGGCTGAGAGCTGCCGGGGAGCCCCTGCCGGTGGCCCTGGGACTGGTGGCTTGCCGTGATAATCCTAGCAGCAGCCCCGTCAGGGGCTCAGGCGGCTCTGGTGAGGCCATGGGAGTTTCCCTGCTTGTCATGGTACATCTACCTCCACGTCTTGGTGGCAGTGATCCAGCAATCTCATAACCTAACTGTTCGGCGTAGGGCATTTGTGCTCCTAGTTTCTCCAGCACTGCAGCAGGCAGCAGAGCAGGTATCGCACATGACAAGTGGTAACAACCGGGAATGCTGGTGCCATGTTAAGTAACCTCTTCAGATACTCCAGGGAAGTCTGCAAGCACTTGTGTCAGCTGTACCTGCCTGCAGCTATGGCTGATTAGGTTCTGCTCCTGTTGGCAGCAAACTGCCACTGGCAGCTGGTGGGCTGAAATCTCTGGGTTTGGAGAAGTTTGTCATCTCACTGAAGGAAATGCCAGGCCATTGGTGACATTCCTCCTTCAGATGTGTTTGATCAAAAATGCCTCTCCTTAAGGTTCTAGTTTTGGATCAAACAAATATCCAGATTAGTTGGATGTTCTTACTCCATCCAGTTGAGCAGACTCAGGGGCAGGTTAGCAGCTCTTTTTCGAGGAGCAGCCCTGCTTTGCATAGGTAAGCTAGCACTAGCTTTTGCTATGGTCAGTGCTCACAGGCTTTACAGGGAATGGCTTGGAAGAAGAAGGGCATTCTCTTCCTAGAAAACTCTCACTGGAGGGGAGAAAGAGAAGGAGACTGGACACAAGAACACAGTGATGCAGTGCAGCTTCTCGGATGCAGGAGAGAGGCAGAATATCCCACCCAGGGAGCAAGCAATGGCTTTTGGCTGCAGATTAAAGGAGAAGGTGTCATTTCAGAGGAATGTTTAGCAACAGATGAAAATAGCTATAAAAGAAAACAAATGGAAACACAGAGACAAGGAATATGGTAGCTCAGAGTGATGGGGAAGCTTGTTCAGGCTGTGGTTCAGTTCCAGGGACTGATGACTGTCAGGAGGGAGCACAGCAGGGGATGGCTGGAGCAGGAGAGTCTCTACTTCAGATTTCAGCACTTTTTGGTTTTTTCTTCCAGCCTAATTGAGTAGTTATGATCATCACAGCCTTTGGATATTTATCAGAAAAATCAGGAAAAACATGTTCTGCCCTGGCACGGAGAAATAAAAACAGTCAATGTCCCTTGTCTTGAAGTTTCCTGCCCTTCTGGGGCTGTCCTTCAAGGAGAAGGGCAGCACAGGAGTTTCTGAGGCAGAGGTCTGGGAAGCAGAGCAGAGCTGCCCTGGGGTGAATGTTGTCCTGGCAAGGAAACTCAGGAGACTGGGATCTCCCTGTGCTGAATGATGTAGACAGAAAATGTTTTTCCAGCTTGAACAGCTTGTGTCTGAGCATTGAATGCAAGCTTCACATTAAAGGTCACCTTAATTAAATACCTCATCACTGGTCTTTATTTTTTACTATTCTGTCTTTTATCAAATATTTGGTTAAAAAGGTTGGGAAAGACCTAGCTTCTGAGTTGTCTGTTATAGTACTTTTTTTTTTTTTTTTTTGGAGGTAAGTTATAGTACTTACTTTTTACTTTTGGAGGTAAAAATACCTAAAGGGGGAATGACATCAGAGAATCAGCAGCACGCAGAAATGAAGGGGGAAAGCCAGTTACTTTAATTCGTAGAATAAAAGTACAGAGTAACCACTAGATAAGTGCTGTGGTGTTTCACTGCTTGTATAACTGGTTAATCAGTGCTGCCAACTGCCCATACTGGTTTACCATAAAGCCACCATATATAATACTTTAAATCCATTTCTACTTCCTTCCAGCTGAAGAGTCTCCATAATGGCTCTAATCACAGGAAATTTGTAACATGGACATTCCCCTGAGGGTCAGGTAGCAGAAATTCTTACTCTCTGGCAAAATCCCCAAATCTTTTACCCTGTGAGTAAAAAATCAGCTCAGCTGAAGCTGCAGTGTAACCTGTGCAAGTGCAACTGACCCAGGACCTGATGTACTGCCCAGAGCAGGCACAGGCAGCAGTTCATGTTCTCTGCAAAGAGATGCTGTTCACAAGACCAGGAGAAATTTTTTAGCCCTTCAAATCTGGAGTGAACTGAAAAATACACAGGATGGTCCTTTTGCTGTAAACTCATGGTCACCTTCAAGCCTTGATGGAGACCCACGTTACTCAAGGAGTTCACTCCTGCCAGAAAGTGTGGGTGGATGCTGCTCTAACAGCATGTGTGAATCTGTAAACACTTGACCCAAATCCACTAAGGGAAGAAAAAGACCCTTTGCCAGTCCTTGCCACTTGCT